TGCTTCGGACGGAAAGAATCATCTGCAGGTAGGTGTTTTGGGTCGATAATGTGTTGTTTACATGAAAATAATCAGCAGTGCAAATTCAAGGATACAATTTCTTGCCAAGATGGATGTAAGAGCTAGTATTTGGTACTACAAAGAAGTGGAACCCCAAATACAGCGATGAAAGCTCCACTTTTATTTGGTTTTCTAAAATGTTAACAGAAACATGAAAAAAATCCCTGCTTAAGTCTACCCCTAAATAAAAAATCCATGACTCAGATTGCATAATGAGGTATGTTGTCACATTGGTTCTGTATGTTGCAATATATTTTTAATAGATGAGACTTTGAGAATTGGACTCTATTTAACCCTTTCATGCATGAACTATGATAACATCAATCCAGATTTTTTTCTTAAGTATTTTTATTCCTCTTTAGGCATGTAAAAAAGATTTTCGAACTTACTTTCCATATAGTTTTTTACATGTCCACTTACACATGTCCACTGGCTGACCAGTGGGTAGCAGGGTATCGACTGACACATCAGTGTCCAATGTAGTGGTTTCTGTGCAAGTATACCATCAACACTGACACAAATGCAAGAAAACAGCCGTTGAATAGCTGTCCACTGTAGTGACCACTATGCGTAAGTTGAAACCTATCACACTGTGTACTTAAGTCTATGCTAGGCACACCCACCATTTATCTGGCAGCTCAATGCCAGGCTCACGCCCCAAAACCATTTTAGTTTTGGTATCAAGAGCCATGAGTGCATCATGTATGCTAAATGATGTGATTTATGATTAGGTCCAGGGGACTTCCCATGGTCGATCAGTGGGGAAACATGCAGATTAAGCTTTTTGCTTTGTGTGTCAGTGACATCGCACAGGGCTACGAGAATGTTCCAATCCCCTGCGTGAATTCGGTGGATGATGAAGGATGTCCATCGGATTACAAATACGTTTCAGAAAACTGTGAAACTTCAGCAATGAACATAGACCGTAATATCACACACTTACAGGTAACTTCATTTTGTCTCCACACAACAGAACTTTTATTTAGAAAAATGTATTCTTCATTTTTCCTTGTTTTGTTTTTTTCTCCCCCTTCAGCACTGTAGTTGCACTGATGACTGCTCATCTAGCAACTGCCTCTGTGGACAGCTCAGCATCCGCTGCTGGTATGACAAGGTAACAAACTGTCTGGGGAAAAAATACCATCATAATCATTAGCAGCAGATTTCATATGAAGTTAAATTGGCAGAGTTATTCTTATTCTATCATATTTTTTTTCACCTCTTTTTCTGTTACAAGGATCAACGGCTGCTTCAGGAGTTCAACAAAATCGAACCTCCACTAATTTTCGAATGCAACATGGCTTGCTCTTGTTATCGAACGTGCAAGAACAGGGTGGTCCAGGCAGGGATCAAGTGAGTATCAGCAATTAAAGAAATGCATAAATCTCAGCCAGATTACACGTCAGACTACAAACCGACACCGAATAATCTTAACCTCATATCATCTGGAGAGATTTCTAACAAATAAACTCAACTGCTAAAGTTTTGATTGGGGGGGGAAAAAATGATTCTTCTCTTGTGCAGTAATCAACAACCTGCTGACCATCTTTCTACATCTTGCTGAGGGCAGCAATGGTAAAGCAATAATTATTAATCACTCTGCACCTGAGTCAGTCACAGATGTTTAACAGTGCAGAGGCAGCCATGTGTTGCAAATAGCCATCACTGGCTTTTTTTCTTTTTCCCCCCCGGTTGATGAGTGTCTGCTTGATACTTCACCCTTAACCCTATTTTTTTCATCTTTCCTCCTCAGAGTTCGTTTGCAGCTGTACAGGACAGAGAAGATGGGCTGGGGAGTTCGAGCTCTGCAGGACATTCCACAGGGAAGCTTCATCTGCGAGTAAGAGGAAAAAAAACCCTCTGCTGGCACACACTAGGCTGCTTTTCTGTGAAAAGCTAGAGGTTAAAAAAATGAAGCTTACCTTCCTCTTTCTGCACAGATATGTTGGAGAGCTGATCTCAGATGCAGAAGCAGATGTTAGAGAGGATGACTCCTACCTGTTTGACCTGGACAACAAGGTGAACCTTCTTAAATTGTGTATTTCAAAACATGGACATCATGTGGGGAAAACGGAAAGAGGGGGCACACAGCTTATTAACTGTATAATTATTAATCAAAAACTATGAAGTAAATAATTGACCAAGTCTTAATCTTGTGTTTGGAAGGTTAGGGTTTAACCCCCTTTCTTGTGTTGACACTGATTCTAAAAATATGAAGATACTTTTATCGTGGTACTTTGAATTTATGATTGTGTTGTAGTATTTTAAATTGTATTTACTAATTTAATAGGAATAAATATGCCCATAGCAGAAATAAATGTCTGCTATGATTTCCTCAACTGTCTTTTTTTTTCTGTATAGGATGGGGAGGTGTATTGCATCGATGCCCGGTATTACGGCAACATCAGCCGCTTCATCAACCACCTGTGTGACCCAAACCTCATCCCAGTACGTGTGTTCATGCTCCATCAGGACCTGCGATTTCCTCGCATTGCCTTCTTTAGCTCCAGAGACATCCTCAGTGGGCAGGAGCTGGGGTAAGAAGTCATAAGTGCCTGGTTGGACCTTAAAGTTGTGGTCAAGAGTTTACATGCACTCATCATGGGCAAGAATTGGGTTAATCCAAGAAGAATAATTGTAGATTTACATCAGCTGGGAATGGCTGTCATAGCAGTTTCGAACAACTGCTATGACAGATCATCTTAGGTTTTCATCTATAGGTTTTCATCTTGTGAATAACTTGATCATCTTTTCAAACAACTGTGCTGTACGGAAGTACAGTGGATCTCTCTGTCACCCTCAGGTGAGAAAAAATTCTTAGGATGTTTGGAATAACCAGGAACCAACTGCCATGAACCAGAAACTCCTGGTATCCGGTCTTTAAGTGATGACATATGAACTTTGTCACATATGAGCTTCCAGGTCCAAACTACTCTGTTTATTAAAGCTGTTGTGTTTTTAAACATGTTTTAATGCTTTGTATCTTGTTCCGTGTAATCTGAACAAGCCCCTAAAAACAGTCAGCGATCACTGTCGGCCTCTCTCGGTTTTTATTACACTAATCATTTTAAAGCTCAGTTTTTAAAACCTTACGATGTAACTACAGCTCAGCTCATGCTGCAGTGTTTTAATGACTAACCTCTTATTGCGGATGGATTATCTCAGTTAATCTCCTGACTCAAGTTTGGTCCGTTTACAATCCTGCCATGCAGTTGCATTTGTTCCTAACCATCGGAAACCCTCGCGTTAACTTTTATAGAGTGGAAAAAAGTTGGTGTTCATCCTCCAGCTTCACTGTTTTTACATTATGAAAAAAGAAATTAAATTACCATAACTGTACACTTGCCCATGAAAAGTGTATGTGAACTAAATTGAACACAACTGTGTGTAATTTATTTCCTGCTTAGTTGAGCCCTCTTTTCTTTCTGTTATCTGGAAATCTATTCTAATGGTCTGTCTTCTGATTGGTCCTTAGGTTTGACTACGGAGATCGGTTTTGGGACATTAAGAGCAAATATTTCACCTGTCAGTGCGGCTCGGAGAAATGCAAACATTCTGCCGAAGCTATCGCCTTGGAGCAGAGCCGGCTAGCTCGGCTGGAGGCCGGCCCAGAATCAGGAGCTGACTGTGGGCTGACCATGCTAGGGAACTCTTAAACAAAACAAAAAAAAAGACACTTACCCATGGGGCCTTTGGATTAACCCCTTCTGTTGCATACACTAGTAATGGAAATACATCATAGCGGGGCTACATCTTCATTCATCATTCAGTTTTATATCTAAGGTGCTGTGTGTTTTTCTACTTGAACTGCAATTTCTTTTCCTGAAGCTGTCAACAGCCACTTTATCTTGTCGAGGATTTGGGCCGGAAGATTTTTTTTACCATGTAGGAGTTTGGAGAAAGAAATGACAGAGGTCTTGTAATTCTTTACGCACAGTATTTTAACTGTAAATCATAATGTACTCATGCCTTGACTCTTTGCGTGTTAGCAGTCTGCCATCATGTACCAGTCATATATACAAACATGTATTTTATACTTTTTCTTTTTTTTTTTTTGTTTCTCTTGTGCCAACAAGTCATGCATTTTGATACAGAGCAGTAATGGTTCGGGTGTTTACCCATGCTGGACCGAGTAAGGTTGTTTTTGATTACCATGTTAGCTTTGTTTTGTTTTGTTTTTTTTGTTTTGTTTTTTTTATACCTGCTGTTTACTGTCACATGTAGTGTAATAAAATAACTCGTGAGTTGACTTCTGTGCTGTGGCTTTATTAAAATTAAGAATCACGGCCTACACATGTTTAAAGTCACTTGATTAATTTGTTTTATTTGTGCTCAGCCTTGACTTTGTCTGGTTTTTGGTTTCCTAGTTTCTGTTTTAACAACAAAGGCCCTTTAGACAATAATGCAAAGCAAGAGGAGTGGGAAGCAGGACTGGGTATGATCAGATGTGAAGATTAAAGGTGGAAGTCTCACTCTGAGCAAATTCAATTTCAACACAGAAGAGACTCCACACTAATGTCTACAAGTCCAATTTAAAATCACCAGTTATTCTAAGAGGCAAGACACACAGACACATAAACACAATGGCTGCAGACCTTTGCTGCCCCCTAACAAAAATGCTAGCTCTCACTGGAAGATAATAGGACACACACACAAGTGTCATTTATTTATTTATTAGACAAAGCACAGCTCTGGCTCGGTGAAGGAAACACTTGTACGCATTTTAAAAACCCAACAAATCTAAACATTTTTACTAGGACTACACACGCAATGACAAGGCTAAAAAAGGGCTAAAAATAAGATTTTTTGAAAAGCTTCGACTGAATTATTTCTCTTTATGTATTGATTTTAGTCATGCCAAAGTATTACCATAGACCTCTACCATTACACTATGCAGAGCGAGTCCTCTTGTTAATAAACAATCTTTGGTCCACCGCGCAGGTGCGCATCCCTCAGCAGGTGCGCGTGCAGCGTCATTCCCTGGTTACAGCTGCCAGGAAGAAAAAGATTTCTTCAGTCATTAGTTGCAATGTCCGCGCTAACGCGGCGAAGCTCCCTCGGAAAAAGTCGGTTTTAGCTTCTTGTTTGTTTTAAGCTCGCAGTGTGTAGAAGAAGTTGCGTTTTATGAGTAAGGAGGAACAGGTGGAGGTCCAGGCGGAACATGGCTAAAAAAAGACAAGAAGAGGAAAATCCGAACTCCGAATACGGTGAGCTGACGTCGGCCGTTGGTGTTCTCAGAGGATCTGCTTTCAGCGTTAAAGTAAAAATTTCCAAAGGCAGCTGAGAAAACTCTTAAATGAACGAGTTTAGAGTTAAATACTTTGTGAGAGCTGTGTTCATTTTTTGTGTCACGCCATTTATTTATTTTTTTGAGTTTTAAGTTAAACTTTCTAACTTTTTATTTTTATTTTTATTTTTTTAATGAAGTGGTTATTAGCATAAACCCACTGTTTCTAACGTGGATTTTTTTTAATGACTGTTAGGTCGTTAAAGTTCAGTGATATCTTAATTATCTTCCTGTTTAACAGTAGGCCGTGTGTTTTTACCCGTGTGCCAATATTAGTCTAATCAAACTGTTTTATTGTTTTACAGATAACCTAGTTTTAAAATGTTGTGACAGTTTTATTACTGATAAATCAGGACACCTCAGAAACCTGACTCTAAGAAAAAAGACAGTATCCAATGGGAGAAATAAGAAGGCTAAAATAGTTTTAAATAATTGCATCCTGTCCTTTAAAATTTCTTCCATTATTAATGTAATGCTTAGATTTAATCACAGTGTCAGTTGAGCATGGCCTTATGGTCAAATGTGTTAACTGTGTAGTGTTGGGGTTCGAAGGATTAGATACTAACTAACTAAATACTTGATTATCTCTCATCTAAATACCAGTTTGTTCTCCCTGATGAGAATCCTCAGTTATTTAGGCTTGAAAGTTGCCTAAATTAATGTTTTATCATGAAAATATGTGCAGTTTATTTCTATAATGATCAGTTAACATTGTTTCATATTGGGGCGAATGTACACATAAGCACTATTGGTCTGCATAGTGTAAAAGCAGGGAGTCTGTGTTGCATTAGTTAACAGATTGTGGCCTTGTGGCTTGTGATTGTGGTTTGCACACAAACTCTAAAACTGGAGATGCTTAGATTCTTAAGACAAATTCTGTTGCTGCTGATGAAAACGTTTTGTCCACTTCACCTTGTGGAACGGAGTCTGCTCTGTTGGAGTACGTCATGAGTCTGTTGGCACTCTGGCAGGTTTGATAAGGCTACAATAAACAAACCCTCCCTGGAGGTAAACATACATGGATGGATGGATTTCATGTCCTTCCATATAAGATGTAAAAACCAGGTGACCACAGCATCACTGGCA